ATAAGGAAACATTAGTATCAAAAATGTAAAATTTGATGGATTATTTCTATCAAAAAGTTCTAGCAGCAGACTTAACCTCTCAAACACAGCGAAAGAATTTGTTGTAAATTTCTTGAAATCAACACGAAACACTATATTTTTCTTTCACATTTATGTTTATTAAGTTAATAAGGAAACATTAGTATCATAAATGTAAAATTTGATGGATTATTTCTATCAAAATGTTCTAGCAGCAGACTTAATAACCTCTCAAACACAGCGAAAGAATTTGTTGTAAATTTCTTGAAATCAACACGAAACACTATATTTTTCTTTCACATTTATATTTATTGAGTTAATAAGGAAACATTAGTATCAAAAATGTAAAATTTGATGGATTATTTCTATCAAAAAGTTCTAGCAGCAGACTTAACCTCTCAAACACAGCGAAAGAATTGTTTTGTAAATTTCTTGAAATCAACACGAAACACTATATTTTTCTTTCACATTTATATTTATTGAGTTAATAAGGAAACATTAGTATCAAAAATGTAAAATTTGATGGATTATTTATATCAAAAAGTTCTAGCAGCAGACTTAACCTCTCAAACACAGCGAAAGAATTTGTTGTAAATTTCTTGAAATCAACACGAAACACTATATTTTTCTTTCACATTTATATTTATTGAGTTAATAAGGAAACATTAGTATCAAAAATGTAAAATTTGATGGATTATTTCTATCAAAAAGTTCTAGCAGCAGACTTAACCTCTCAAACACAGCGAAAGAATTTGTTGTAAATTTCTTGAAATCAACACGAAACACTATATTTTTCTTTCACATTTATATTTATTGAGTTAATAAGGAAACATTAGTATCAAAAATGTAAAATTTGATGGATTATTTATATCAAAAAGTTCTAGCAGCAGACTTAATAAACTCTCAAACACACAACTCTCAAAGAATTTGTTGTAAATTTCTTGAAATCAACACACGAAACACTATATTTTTCTTGACATTTATATTTATTGAGTTAATAAGGAAACATTAGTATCAAAAATGTAAAATTTGATGGATTATTTCTATCAAAAAGTTCTAGCAGCAGACTTAACCTCTCAAACACAGCGAAAGAATTTGTTGTAAATTTCTTGAAATCAACACGAAACACTATATTTTTCTTTCACATTTATATTTATTGAGTTAATAAGGAAACATTAGTATCAAAAATGTAAAATTTGATGGATTATTTCTATCAAAAAGTTCTAGCAGCAGACTTAACCTCTCAAACACAGCGAAAGAATTTGTTGTAAATTTCTTGAAATCAACACGAAACACTATATTTCTTTCACATTTATATTTATTGAGTTAATAAGGAAACATTAGTATCAAAAATGTAAAATTTGATGGATTATTTATATCAAAAAGTTCTAGCAGCAGATTTAATAAACTCTCAAACACACAACTCTCAAAGAATTTGTTGTAAATTTCTTGAAATCAACACGAAACACTATATTTTTCTTTGACATTTATATTTATTGAGTTAATAAGGAAACATTAGTATCAAAAATGTAAAATTTGATGGATTATTTCTATCAAAAAGTTCTAGCAGCAGACTTAACCTCTCAAACACAGCGAAAGAATTTGTTGTAAATTTCTTGAAATCAACACGAAACACTATATTTTTCTTTCACATTTATATTTATTGAGTTAATAAGGAAACATTAGTATCAAAAATGTAAAATTTGATGGATTATTTCTATCAAAATGTTCTAGCAGCAGACTTAACCTCTCAAACACAGCGAAAGAATTTGTTGTAAATTTCTTGAAATCAACACGAAACACTATATTTTTCTTTCACATTTATGTTTATTAAGTTAATAAGGAAACATTAGTATCAAAAATGTAAAATTTGATGGATTATTTCTATCAAAATGTTCTAGCAGCAGACTTAACCTCTCAAACACAGCGAAAGAATTTGTTGTAAATTTCTTGAAATCAACACGAAACACTATATTTTTCTTTCACATTTATATTTATTGAGTTAATAAGGAAACATTAGTATCAAAAATGTAAAATTTGATGGATTATTTCTATCAAAAAGTTCTAGCAGCAGACTTAACCTCTCAAACACAGCGAAAGAATTTGTTGTAAATTTCTTGAAATCAACACGAAACACTATATTTTTCTTTCACATTTATATTTATTGAGTTAATAAGGAAACATTAGTATCAAAAATGTAAAATTTGATGGATTATTTATATCAAAAAGTTCTAGCAGCAGATTTAATAAACTCTCAAACACACAACTCTCAAAGAATTTGTTGTAAATTTCTTGAAATCAACACGAAACACTATATTTTTCTTTGACATTTATATTTATTGAGTTAATAAGGAAACATTAGTATCAAAAATGTAAAATTTGATGGATTATTTCTATCAAAAAGTTCTAGCAGCAGACTTAACCTCTCAAACACAGCGAAAGAATTTGTTGTAAATTTCTTGAAATCAACACGAAACACTATATTTTTCTTTCACATTTATATTTATTGAGTTAATAAGGAAACATTAGTATCAAAAATGTAAAATTTGATGGATTATTTCTATCAAAAACTTCTAGCAGCAGACTTAACCTCTCAAACACAGCGAAAGAATTTGTTGTAAATTTCTTGAAATCAACACGAAACACTATATTTTTCTTTGACATTTATATTTATTGAGTTAATAAGGAAACATTAGTATCAAAAATGTAAAATTTGATGGATTATTTCTATCAAAAAGTTCTAGCAGCAGACTTAACCTCTCAAACACAGCGAAAGAATTTGTTGTAAATTTCTTGAAATCAACACGAAACACTATATTTTTCTTTCACATTTATATTTATTGAGTTAATAAGGAAACATTAGTATCAAAAATGTAAAATTTGATGGATTATTTCTATCAAAAAGTTCTAGCAGCAGACTTAACCTCTCAAACACAGCGAAAGAATTTGTTGTAAATTTCTTGAAATCAACACGAAACACTATATTTTTCTTTCACATTTATATTTATTGAGTTAATAAGGAAACATTAGTATCAAAATGTAAAATTTGATGGATTATTTCTATCAAAAAGTTCTAGCAGCAGACTTAACCTCTCAAACACAGCGAAAGAATTTGTTGTAAATTTCTTGAAATCAACACGAAACACTATATTTTTCTTTGACATTTATATTTATTGAGTTAATAAGGAAACATTAGTATCAAAAATGTAAAATTTGATGGATTATTTCTATCAAAAAGTTCTAGCAGCAGACTTAACCTCTCAAACACAGCGAAAGAATTTGTTGTAAATTTCTTGAAATCAACACGAAACACTATATTTTTCTTTCACATTTATGTTTATTAAGTTAATAAGGAAACATTAGTATCAAAAATGTAAAATTTGATGGATTATTTCTATCAAAATGTTCTAGCAGCAGACTTAACCTCTCAAACACAGCGAAAGAATTTGTTGTAAATTTCTTGAAATCAACACGAAACACTATATTTTTCTTTCACATTTATATTTATTGAGTTAATAAGGAAACATTAGTATCAAAAATGTAAAATTTGATGGATTATTTCTATCAAAATGTTCTAGCAGCAGACTTAATAACCTCTCAAACACAGCGAAAGTATTTGTTGTAAATTCCTTGAAATCAACACAAAACACTATATTTTTGCTTCACATTTTTTATTATTCTCACAATTTTATTAATTGAGTTGATAATTGAGGAGCACTTGTGTAATATATGTAATTTTATTTGCATTATCAACAGCAGAATCGCCAGCACCGACTGTGGGATGTTGGTAACAATGGAAAATAATGCTGTCAGATAAGATATTTATGTCAAAAAAAACTAGAAAAGCCTAAAACATTAAGATTTAATTGACTTTATAGCAATATTTTAACATTTTATACAGTAAAATTAAGTTTTAAACATAGGCCATATAGCCAAATGACAAATGACCTTGAAATTATTTTGCTGCTAGGTACTTGTGCTGCTAACTATACGCACGTATAATATACACTAATATCCGCAATATGACGATTGACACTTTGACCAAACTTAACTAAAATTTTGATATTATATTTCGCACAACACTATATAAAATTAGACAAAAAACAATAGCATGTAACAAATTCAGTAAAATCACTCATAAACAGGTGGTGAGTTAGAACCGAATAAATTGCATATACAAGTATGAAAGATTTTAGTATTGCCTGATGAGAATAATTTTACTAATTTTAAGCTTGGTATGAGTGACATGAAACATGCACAGCAACACTTTTCTTTTAACTGTCACGGCTGTCAGTTAGCATGCTGTGGTGACTTCACAACTATCGCCATTTTGTATGAATTGTTATGTTTTTTGCAACCTAAAACGTTTATTTTTTATTATGTAAACAAACAAATGTAGTTTATAGATTTAGATTAATTATATCAATCATGGAAGAATTAGTAAAAATAAACTTTGATAGAGCATGCAGAAGTTGCTTAATTGAAGAAGGGGAAATGGAGTGTATATTTACAGAGAGTGAAAATTCACAATCTGAATTAAGTAACAAAATTATTAATTGCACTCAAATAAAGGTATATTGAATGAATGGAATTCTAAAGATGATGGTGCTTTATAGCTAATTATCAATAATCTTAGCAATAATCTTTTATCAATAATGTTTTTATAAATATTACAAATAAATTTTTAGGTTCATAGGAATGATGGATTACCTAAACAAGTGTGCACAAAATGTTCACTCAGATTAATTGAAGCATATGAATTTAAAGTACAATTTGAAAAAAGTGATATTAAATTGAGGGAGTATCTAGCTCATTTATCAAAAAAATCTATCAAAGAAGAAACTTCTTTGCACGACATAATAGATTTTAATAGTTTATATAATACAGAAATTAATATCAAAAGTGAAAATGTTGATAATTCAAATTTGGAATTTCATGAGATTCCAAAACAAACATTGGAAAAATTCAAGAATATTGATAATGGGACATTATTTAATAATTTGAACATCAATGACAAATGTACACAAACTGAAGATGTTTATCCTTTAAATTACTCGAATGTTTATTGTTGTGAATATTGTGACAAGAAATTTAGTTCAGTTGAGGGCTTGAAGGTAACTTATGAATGAAATAGGCGTCTCAATTAAATTTCTATAAAAACTAAAAGTATAATGTGTTTCATTTTACTGTAATAAAGTTGAAAACAAATTATTGCATATTTTTATTGTGCTTTTTTGAGTATTTAGTGCTGACATCTTAATAATATATTTACTTACATAAATAACGATAACAAATTTATGTTCTTTAAGCTCCATAATGCCAAACATGAAAATAGCATTAGCTCACATGCTTGTCAACAGTGTGATAAAGTATATGTAAGACAATACCATTTACAAAGGCATATGAAAGAAGTACATGGTAGTCAATCGAAGAACCAGAAGTATGTATTCAATTTATACAGTAGTTACTATTAAGATTTATACGATATAAATAAATTTACTCTTTAATTGCAGATACTCATGCAAAGTTTGTAAAACAACACTTACTAGATTAGAGCATTTAAAGCGGCATATGTTGTTGCATGTAAAAAATAAGCCTTTTAGGTAAGTTGATGAAATATATTCAGTTATTATTAGATATAGATAGATTAGTTAGATATATGAACTTTTTCATTTATGTTATTAATTGTGTGCATTCTACCAGCTGTGATAAGTGCAATATGGGCTTTATTCGTAATGAAAACTACCAACGCCACATTGGAAATTGCCAAGGTGTTAAAGATTTTACTTGTGGAAATTGTCATAAAGGATTTGATAGGTTTGTTTTTTAAATGATTTAATTCTTCTGAAGAGTACACTATCTAGATAATAATTCAGCTTCATTATATGCATGTTTTACTGCAGGCAAGATCAATTATTGAATCATATTAAGACTCATGATAATCCAAAAAACATTCAGTGCCTAGATTCATTAGACTCAGAAGTATTTTTTGAAAATGCAGAGTTAGTATATACTGAACCTGATATTAATGTTATGGATCATTTGGAGTTGAAACAAGAACCAGAAAATGAATCCAATGATGAACATGATTTTGATATTGCTGACGACAGTCATTCCCCTGCACATTCACCTTTAGTTAATAAATCTAACTCTGTAGAATTAAATAATAGTGATGATTCAAGTGATGTTGAATTTAGTCCTTATAAACAAAAGACTAGAAAGAAAAAGAAAACTAAACAGGTTCAACCCAAAGTACCTGGTAGGAAGCGCGGTAGGCCGAGAAAATATATTCCAGAAGATGCAACAGAAAAGCCTATAGATGAAATTTCTGATCAGAATCTTAACAATTTTGTGATCAAAGAAGAAGATGGAGAAATAGAAATTAAAACTGAAAATGATGATTCGGTAATATATTATTGACATTATTTTAATGATTTAAGTTCAAGTTTAAATAAATTTACTGAATTGTGAAGAGCTACAGAAAAGTATATTTCATTTTTTACTGAAATATTGACATTTTATGATATCTAGGTAATAATTTACAAAAAGTCCTAATCTATTTAATTAAATTTTATTTATTAATTATTAAAAGTTGAAGTAAAGTACATTTTCAAAAAATGGTAGAATTTTGTTCTTATAAATATTATTATGACAAAATTCAAAAAGTAACAAATAAGTACTTTCTCTTAATTTATTTCTTGTTATTTTAAGTTAAAAATAAACATAAAGAAAGCGGAATATTATACAATTGTTCTTCGGGACCCATTTTTTTTTTGCTCTAAATCTATAAATGATGTCAATCGTCCTGATTCTATAACAATCATTTACAGTCAATTTTGTTGCATGTAATGCAAAAGATGTGTTGATAATATAATTATATCATAAAAAAATAGTATGTCTTATCAACAGTTACAGCACTGAATGATATAGTTTTTATTACCACATTAAGAACTAAATGTAAAATTTAAAACTAATATTATATTACTAATGAGATTTGTTTTTTTACAGACTGGTCATTTTCCATGTACAATATGTGATAAAGTGCTAACTACTGAAATAGGCCATCAAATACATATACAAAAGCATAGTGGTAGTAAAATATATAAGTGCCCAGTTTGTGAGAAAACTTTTACGAGGTCTAATCATATGAAACGTCATCACTTAACACATTTATCTATTAAACCTTATAAGTGCCATGTTTGCGCAAAGGGTTTTAACAGGTGATAAATATCAGACGTTTTATTAAATCTGAGGTTGTTCAAAAGAGTTCTGGGCAAAAAGGATCATCTTAAAGAGTGAAATGTATTGATTACATATATTAAAATGTTTAAAAGAGATTTATGTGCTGATTAATTTTTTTTTATAAAATATTGAAATCAATTTTTTCAATTATTTCGATGTTATTAAATACAACAATTAAAAGGGCCAAGTATAGCTTTTTCTCAAAGCTAATTTTAAGTTCAATTAAACATAGAGTATCTTTTGGGTTATGATTTTTTAAATATACTCTGTAAAACGAATTTAATCCAACTCAATTATTGGATACAGGTAATAAAATGTTTTGATGGTTTCCTGTGAAAGTAATAATTTCAGTTCTTTGAAATCTTATTAGAAATATTAATAACAAAAAAAAAAAACAATTCTTTACAAAGTGGAATATAAATAAATAAAATGATAAAAATGAAGTTTTGGTGAATGAAAGATTATGTATTCCACTGTATCATTATGAAAGGTGTACAAAAATTGTGCAGTATGTACTAATTTTTATCATTGTCTACTACTTAGTTTTTGGATGTAATATGAGTGCAACAAAATCGAAATTGATTGAATGAAATGAAAAGCATTTGTCTGATATTTGTAAGTAAAAAGCAAGATTATGTGCATTCAAGTTTCTAACCAAACCCCAGATTTGATATTACCTCTGATATTTTCATTGTATTTATATACCATCCGAAAGAAAAATTATATTTGTATATTAAATGTTATATATTTTTCTAGGTTGGATCATCTCAATATTCATATGTATAATCATGCAGATAAGAAACCATTTGAATGTGAAATTTGTAATAAGGGCTTTAGTAAAAAAGACCATCTCAATAAGCACAAAGAATCAAAACATGGCGATAAACCTGCCAATCCTAAAAAAACTGAGATTTGTGAAATATGTAAAAAAGGTTTTTAAACATATTTATATAATTTATAATAAATGTTAAATAAAAGTGAATGATATTGACAGAACAAATTATATTTAGGATTCACAACAGCCAAATATTTGCAAACGCACATGAAGCTTCATCTGGAGGGAAAGACTTACTCTTGCAAATTTTGCTCGATGACATTTAATGCAAAGCCAGAACTTATGGAACACTTGAAAACACACTCAAATGAAAAACCATTCTTATGTTCAGAGTGTGGTCAAAGGTAATATATAATAAAAAACATTCAGAATTGCCATTTTATACAGTTTCTTTTTTTTTTGCATATTTTAACTGTTCAATAATATGTGTACAAAAGAATTTTTCAAAATTTAAATTACTTTCGGAGATAGAGCTGTTTAATTTCAATGATACTCTCATGTTTTTTCTCTCTGTGAAACTGGACCGATTTACTTGAAAATTTTACAGGGTTTTCTTTAGACTTTGGTACTTCTAGTATGGAACACGTCCATCCCTAAATCCCGATTTTTCATTTTTAAGAAAAATCTACATAAAAAAAAGTTATACATATATTAAAAAAAATAATATTTCTTTCACATGCTCGCTATTTTGTGAAAAAACTTTCTTTCTAATTTGTATGTAGTACATACGATTGGGACATTATTCTAGCTTAATAATAATAATATTGGCTTTTCAAAAATCGCATAAAATTCATGCCTTTAGATCATAATGGCCTTCTACAATATGTTGTGTAGTAACACACAAAATTTAAAGTAGGTTTTTTAAAAGTGTGTTTTAATTATTTTGCATATAATATCTCACTATCTTTATATTCATTTTTATAACATTTCATTATAAAGAAGTAATTTCTCTAAACAATTACAATGTTACTGATTTGGCACAACCAAAAAGAGATAATTAAAATACATTTCTAAAAAACTTACGAAATCACTTAACTTTGTGCATTATTTATCACAAATATGTTTCAACATCAAAAAAAAGTATCAAGAATGAACATATTTTTATTAAATATCCTGCGAATCAAATATTTTTCTATAAAATATTTTGTACAACAACATGTTGTTGATAAAATGTTTGCATTAATGCTTTAATCTATTTTCACTAATTGCAGGTTCATTCGTAATGACTATTTAGTCATTCATATGAGGAGGCACAAGGGCGAAAAACCATATAAATGCCGGTATTGTGGAAAGGGTTTTCCCAGGGCAACAGATTTAACCGTTCATGAAAGATATCACACTGGGGAAAAAACACATCTTTGTACGATATGTGGAAAAGGCGAGTAATAAAATTCTACATTTAAATACCATACTAATATTATTAAAATATTGCTTCACGTTCATTTTTTTAAAAACACAAACATCTGTGAATATATTTTGGTGTCACATACCAGTTGAAATGATTATCAACGTTATTGAAATCTAACATTTTAGGTTTTCAACGGGCATACAATCTTGTAGTGCATACTCGGGTCCATACTGGAGAAAAGCCATATGTCTGTTCTCATTGCGGTAAAGCTTTTGCGCAAGGAAATGATTTGAAAGCTCATGTCCGAAGACATACAGGCGAAAGGTAATTTATATTTAAGATACTAGTCTTGACAAGTTGAACAAAGTATTCACAAACAATAAGATTCAAAAATATCCATAGCGAAATAAATTGATCTTCAACCAAGAAACATCAAATAAACAAATATATGTTTCCTAATAGTAAGTTCACTTTGAATAATATTTATCACATTAGGTACTTTTTTAAATGTTTTAATGTTTTAATAAGATTCATGTATTCATGTAGGTTTAGTATGAGAGATTTTCTATTGGCAATCTACACTGAAGTTTCTTAGTAGTTAATTTTTGATTGGCAATATATTTTGGATACATATTTTGAAGCAAAAATCGATGTCACAATTGCATATCATGAAATCCGAGAATGTGAAACTAATTAAACTAAATTTTATCTGATTGTGACTGAAACGCGATAGCAAATTTTGCGTTATTTCTAGGTTTTGTTTTTTTATACATTTTTTTTTGTATAAATCTAACAAGTATTGTACCATTTTGCTATCTTGAAAATGTGCCAACTTTTAATGTGGCTTCCTAATGCTTTTTAGTACTTCTTTTATAATACATACTTGTATAACATTCTATAATTAACTTTTACTGCAGTCATAGAAATATTAATAACTTCCCGAAGGAGAAGTTTGTTTTCATAAAAAAATCCATTGCAAGCCATTCTGAATCAAATGAGACCAAATTTGGAAAAGGTGTGTGTGTGTGTGTGTGAACAGATTTTTTAGCTTAAATCGATGTTTTCCCAAAAACGGATAGACCAATTTCAAAAATTTAAAAGCCCAATTATTTTTATTCTAATTTTATTTTTATGATAATTACAATCAATACTTTGAATATATAAATTAAACTATATAACAATATATTATAAATACCTCAATGGAAATGCACCAAAACTAAATAGTTTACTTTATGGATATTTAACTCCAATAACCATTTTCAACACAAATATTTAACAAATAATAGAAAGCCATATAATTAAAACATAACTAATTGCAGATATAATTGTGAAATTTGTGGGGAAGGATTTATTCAAGGATACCATTTAACACAGCACAAACGCGCAGCGCATGGCATAGACACTCCTTCAAATATACGAAGGGTAGAAAAACTTCCATATCCTTTGATTATACCACCAAGTGAGGGTCCCAAGAAAAGGCAAAGAAATCAAAAGCAAAATAATACTGAAACATTAGAAGCTAATCAACAAAATCAAGAAGTTAATTTGCAGACTTCTTCATTAGCATCAACTGGACGGCCTGACAATATAAGTTCGGCATCAAATAGTATGACTCCTGATAACGGATTACAAACTACGAATACTCAAAATAGTGTTTTGACAGATGGTATTTTACAAGCTCTCACGACATCCCACATGAATAATGAAGTTGATTTGGCTAATAGACAAGTTCCCGGCCTCTTACCTATTATTCCTCTTGCATTATTTCCAACAATGCAAAATCGTTAAAAAAGATTACTCAGGTAAAATTTGTTACATTGTTTTATGAATAAGGACGACTATGGTATGTTGTATATAATAATTGTTTTATAAAGTACTGATAAAAGATTTAATGATAATTTAATTTTATTTAAATGTTTATGTTCAATGCATTTATAAAATATTTTATTGTCACTACATTATCATGAATATATGAAGATATTTTATGAGGATATATAAAATGTAGATAACTGTTATAAGAAATTCAAAAGAAAACTTTTATCATTCCATCTACTTATTTTATATTATATTTTAAGAAATTATGAAAGTTTTTGTTTGCGGCATCACATATAATTTAGTATATTTTATCTAAAAATAAATCAGAAAATAATGTTCACAGATTATAAAATAATGTGTAAATAACTACATGCAGATATATTTTATAATTATTGTTATAGAGTATGTGAATACAATTTTTTTTAGTATATTGGTATTTTAATTTTTACAGACAATAAAATTATGAAAAATCCAGTAGGTTCATTTCACAATTCAATACTTAAATTAAATAAATAAATAAATGAAACAAACAAAAATTATAGAACTATTTTTCTACATTTAATTTACAATAGTTCTTGTGAAAGGTCATTTATGATGATCATTTTGTTTTATCTAAAAAAAGAAATAGTTGAAAATTAAACAAACTGTTACAATATATTGATTGTTCAAATGGTAAATATAAACTTGATTCATATATATATTAGAGAATATTATGATTTACAAAATTTTCAACGAAAAGTGCATCACCAAAATTTTCATTAAAAATATGGACGGAAATATATTTGTGAAATAATTAATTTTATTTGCGATTATTAATTAATTAGTTAATTTCAATTGACCTGACCATCAAATAATTTAGACTGGGTCCGTATGGAATTGAGTGTGCAAAATATAAGTAAATCAAAAATAATACTATTATTATTTTTAGCCAGAAGTTTTCTTACTGTTAGATATCGAGAGCATATATGCGGTAAAGAACTCGCTTTTTAATTCAGTTAAACAGATAGGTACTTTGCTGTGGATTCACTAAACGCTCTGACTTTTTTAATACTTTTTTAGTTCAATCTAGAAGTGTTGTTCTTAAAATTTTAGATCGTTTTGTTTTTATTCTTAGGGTGTTTACGAGTGATTAAACAAAACGGCTATGCCAAGCAAGGACGACTTCAGCAATTATAGCAGGAAATGTGAAAGAAGAGACATATTTCCAATTAGTAGTATTACCTTGTTTCCTCTTTTCTAAAGCAAACTTGATATTATGAATAAATTTACTATGTTCAGTAAAATCTCTGTTATTTTTTTCTTTGATTTGCCTTTCGAATTAATTTTATATATGTATTTTAGTATCAAAATAAGTTTGTAAAACTACTTCGACGAGGATGGGATTCGAACCCACGCGTGCAGAGCACATTGGATTAGCAGTCCAACGCCTTAACCACTCGGCCACCTCGTCACACCTTTTGGAATTAAGAACCTATTAAGATTCCTTAAAAAGTTATTCGTTTAATTACAAAAACCCGATTTTCGCTTATTTATATTTATCCTTTGCGTCAATATTATCTGAATTTTTGCTTTACTATTACATTCCAACCTGATTAGAATAGAAAAATTGACTTATATTTAAATATTCATAAATCGTTTCACTAAAAATTTAGATATTGATTACTACAGTGCGATAGGTAAATAAATTTGAGCATAATTGTCGCTCCTAACACATTGCCTACTCAATTAACTTTGGCTCCCACTAGTTGAAAAAATAATTTGATGACGATCGAACTTGAAGCGATATTCCGGCGCCGCCGTATACACACCACGATATCAAATTGTGTACGCACATGATTCTGAGTTTGTATATGAGTTTTGTGTATTTCTATTGATAATTGTATGGCAGTTTGTTGGCATACGCCATCACATAGGGACAAAAAAGTGCTATTTTCATAGAAATCCAATGTCAAAATGTGTAATAATATAATTCTTTCATCCATTACATATTATATATTCACGTTTTAATAAAGGTTATTACATATAGATTCTTAATATATATCGCTGCTGCTGTCAGATTAATTTGTGTGATATGTTTGCATATTTAATTATGAATAGTGTTGGCTGAATATTTAATAGTGGTTCATATAAACTTATTTTATTGCAATAATATATTTAATAATAATTCCGCGCAATGAATATGTTTTAATAAGTTATGTAGGTGAACAATAAAGTAGAATTTTCATTATATTTTTACAATGATAATGCATTATCAAGTATAAATAAACATGTTTATTAATTCATGGTTATAGATGGATTGCTATACGGTATCGGCTTAACACTGGTATATCAACGATTTTTTGCCTGTTCAAGAATGCCTTTAAAAAATCCGTTACACAAATTTTCATGCTCATAATTAATTGTATGTATGTGACTATATTATTGTGAAGTGATTTGCTAGTGCTTTAAAAAGTTAAATATAAAATGCCCAAATATTATTCAGACAAAAAAAACGTGAAAATTTTAATTACCGAAGCGCGCACGTTGCGCTACTGCTATTTGTCAAATGTCCAGAGGAAATATTGTTACGGAAACATAATTCTGACGGTTATTTCAAATAACCGGAATGCCGGTAAATACAACAATTATTATTTTAACTTCAAGCAATTTATTTAACATTAGTAACAAATAGTAATCCAAATCAGTGTGAATACATACAATATAGCTTCGATTTATGTAACTATTTTTTTGTGATTATAACCAAAAAGTGGTACAATATATCTTGACCAAAAAATAAGTTATCGAGTTGATCATACCGAATTTTACCAAGTTTTTTTCAAAAAAACATTTAACCCTTATGCTACGGATGTCGTCCTTGGACGACATGTGTTTGCTTTTGCTTCAAGATTATTGAGTTAATGAGTATAAATTGAGTTAAAGTATTGAGAAATTTAGTCTTTATTGAAATTTCTTCTTGTAATTGTAATTAATGTACTAGAAGCGTTATTTTCAACTTTTTAACACATATTTATTGATAATCATAGAAATATCTTAATATCTGTTCAGTAGTGCAACTGAGCGTCAAGCTCACGCTATTCCCGTACAGCAGCGACATTTCTGCGGAAAGAACTTCTATAGCGAAAAGGGTAAAAAGGCCCATAAATCGTTTAAATACCAATGTGAGACCGAATTTGCATAGCAATGCGCCTATATCCTGTGTTTTATTTAAACAATAATAAATCTTTCTATAATTGTTAATGCATTACATTTATATATTTTAGGACAAAATATATTTGCAGTATTAATATTTTACTAGTTGGGTATATATAGATATGTCTTTTCACGCACAAATATTTTACGATAACAATCCAAATGGTGTTTATTACGCGGGTCAAGTATTGTCCGGGAGGGTGGAAGTATCTTTAACCAAGGCAAAAAAGTTGAGAAGTTAGTATTCTTTTTATGATATTCAATAATGGATATTATTTATATTATGTTATATATATATTTATTTATATTATGTTATATATAGTGTGTGTGTGTGTGTGTGTGTGTGTGCTTGTATGTATAAGGCATGGGCATTCATATAAAAGTGAAAATACGAAATGCATATTGCTGCTATGTTTGCATAATTGAACGCCAAAATGTTAACATTTAATCAGAATCGAAACAAGTAATCGCAAAAAAATCGAAAATAAAAATTTTTGCATATCTTTACGTTTTAAAAGATTCTAAATTCAGAATCTTTTAAAACGTAAAGATATGCAAAAATTTTTATTTTCGATTTTTTTTGCGATTACTATAACTTACCCCACGGGAAGTTAATTATAATTATTGTTTTTGCACATTTTTTCCATCGATTATATTGTTTATAAAACAATGTTTTGCATTGGCACTTAACAATCTTTAGAAATACAGTCATTAAAAATTAAAATAATTGTTATTCCAGGTTTGTACATGACAGTAAATGGAAAAGCCGAGACTTCTTGGAATGAGACAGAATCTTATACCGATCACGAAGGTAAATCTCAAACCCGTACTGTACATTATGGCGCGGAAGAAACCTATCTTAATTCTGTTACCTATTTGGTAGGCTCTGAACAAGGTAGTAAACGATTTTATAACAGATAAATGATTAGTAATTAAGATTTGAATTATTTAAAATGTATGTTTGAAATGAAACAGGTTCAGAAGTGCAGTTGGAAAGTGGTAAACACATTTACAATTTCATGTGTGCTCTTCCTGCACTTCTACCTTGCAGTTACGAGGGTGGAACTGGTTTTGTACGTTACACGATCAAAGTGACATTAGATCGACCATGGAAATTTGATCAGACTTCTAAAGCGGCCTTTACTGTTATATCACCACTTGACCTGAATTTAGATCCTAGATATCGGGTATTTATATTGGAGCAGTATTACTATCTGTATTTTTACTAGTTTTGTAGCCTGTGAAGTTTTTGTTGAATAGCAATATCTTTTTTCTTTCATATATATTTGCACCTATTACATAATTAAATTTTTAAAAATTACATAAGCAATTTTTTTGAATAGTCCATAGAATGTCTAAATCGGATGCCAATCCATTGATTGCGCGCCCGGGTATGATGGTATCCTATTTTGCTGTTGTATGTCCGAGAGTGGTCTTTTCCACTTTAATCTTTCATTCCTGTTACGCATTAATTGGGTGTTTTAAAAGTCTTTTTTATAATTGTTACTATGGATAAGGAATTCCTCATGTACTGTATTATTATCGAGATCTTTATGTATGAGCCAATTTGGTACATATTTAGGGGCATGACAGTATCTTTGAAGAAATAATTTTATTGATTGAGTTTTAACATAAATGTTCTGAAAATGTAACGTAAATATTTATATTGGTAGCATTTTACTTGAAAATGCTTAAATTATTTTTACAACCCTAAATGTCACCCAGTTAGGACTTTACTTGGAAGCTCCACGAGTATTTTTAAATGGGCATATGGTACTTATAAAATTATTAGATTTCTAGGTTCATAAAGATATAGCCGTTTTTGGTGAAATCCACTTGTTTTCCAATTTGAGAAAAAACTTCAGAAAATTGTGTTTAACCATTATTTTTTCGCATTTAATACGAAACATTCAATTAAAATCAATAAAATGCTTTATTAAAGCGATACCAGTAAAAAGTTTTGCATAGGTACGACTTAAGCAATAAAGTGTCCCACGTTTGAAATAGAAACTGTTGGCATACCCTTGATCAATTTTACCATTTGAAGATGCCTACACGATTGCAAAATAAATAATGTAAATAAAGTTTAGTTTAAAAAAAAAAAACAGAATTATATTATTGTTGTAGAACGCTTGCAACTGTTAGTAGAAACTTCACAACTCGGACGTACAAATTACGAGGTTGCAATTCCATTTAGACATTTTTAAGTATGGCCAAAAATTGGCTGATGTTTGAAAATGAAAAATAAATAAAAAAATATGTTTCACAAAGTCGGGCAGCTATCAGATTGTACACATTTGCTTAGTCGACTATATAGTTGTCATTAACGGTACCAAATGATGTAATTTATAATTATCGAACAAAATATAGCCGGGGTACGATTTAGGCGGTAGTTTGACTTAAGCAATCTCACCCTGATACTCATATACATTAAACTATATTATATAAAATAATATAAAATTCATCATTTATATATAAAGTTACCAGTGAGCAGAGAATCGACTAAAACTCTTTGGTGCGGTTGTTCTACCAAACCGATGCGAGTGAACGTAGAATTGCCACGTACGGGATACGCACCTGGTGAAGAAATTGCCGTCACTTGTAATGTCTCCAATGAGACCAGAGTGGACGTGGAGTATCTTCACATCAAAATTACAAAAGTAATAAATATATGGAATATAAATAAGTAATATTTATAATATAAATATTACTTAAATGTTAAATGTTTGGTAATGATCTGGCTAGATTCTTGTATAACGCATTATAATGTTATTTAGTAATTATTTCCATTCAATAATGATATTTTGTTATGTAATTTCTTCAATCGCATAAATAAGCAAACAAGACTTCACGCTTTTTGTTTAAATCAATAAAAATAGATTTGTATTATTTTTGCATAATCTAAATGTAATGCATAATGAATCGTAATACATTTTGTATCAGGTTCAAGAAAAAAAATTATTGCAGCCACATACGTATATGAGACATTTTCCTGATCTATCTTTTTTTGTTGAAGAGATACAGAAATATTAATTTGAAAATTTCGAATTAAAAGACCAATTCGATTCTATGAATTGTAGGAACTATAATGAAATTATCGTACAATAACGGAAACAATTTCGTTTACCGCTCTTACTTTTCGAACATAGATTATTTTAAAGGAAGAGAAGCTTTGTATTTTCATTTATCCATATACTTAATTTACCATTTATTTTATAGATTGCTAAATTTCATAGCAGAAGTCCACATAAAATCAAACACAGTTCAACCGACTTGGTGACAGTAAGTGCTGAAGGAGTTCCTAGATATACTAAAACTTCGATCACAAGAAATATTCAATTACCTGTAATACCTCCTTCATTATTGCACAACTGTAGTATTATAGACATTGATTATGTTATCAAGGTATGTAACAGTGAAATGCCAAAAAGTGAAATTGTATTTCTTATCATCCCTTAATGTAAGGCACAAATACTTTTCTAAATAAGCCGTCTAAATATGATGTAGATTGTCTAAAAATGTTGCAAACTATCTGAATGTGTTGCAAATTGTATGAATATGTTGCAGATTATCTGATTATGTTATAGATTTTTAAAAATATAAATTGTTTGGAAATGTGATAAATTGTCTGAAAGTGTTGTAAATTGTATAAAACTGAAGAATATTGTTTGAAAATATTGCAAAACGTTTGAATACGAGTATATCGTAGATCGTCTTAAAATGTGGTAAATTGTCCGAAAATTTTGTAGATCGTGTGGAACTGTTGTAAATTCTATGAATATGTTAAATATTGTCTAAAATAGACCGATTACTATGAGTAATGTACTATGACTAAATGAGTAAATTATCTAAAGTATATATCTAACTGGGTCTAACTCATTAAATTTTTGCTGATACTTAAAAACAATAAAAGATATAAAAATAATGTATGTTGTAAACATATATAGGTTCACTACAAATCAATTTCTACATCTTTATATTTAATAAGTCAATTATAATTAAAATCAAAGCATGTGTGGCTGTTTGTGTTATAAAATTTGAATAAAAAGTTACTAATTTTGACATGTTTAATATGGGTTCTAAATCCTAATACCAATATTCAATGAAAATTTTTTGAAAATTAATTATTTTCTTTTCGCAAATAGGTCAAAGCCAGTATTCCTGGATGTCACAGGTCAATGCGTTTAGAACTGCCTTTCACTGTCGGTACTGTACCATTAAGTAATAGACCTGAACAACCAGAAATAGGATTCGCAAATGTTGCGCCATCAGCGCCACCAATAACCGCGCAACCTGGTGCCGGCGCACCAAATGATGACTTACGTAAGTAACTTACGGAGAATTAAGTCAAACTTCTTAAGGCATATAATAAATAAATCATTATTTTAATTTTTAACCCTTTTGGCTACTTGAGTCATCATGCCGACCAAGTATTTGTTGAATAAAATATTTTAAGATTTTTAAACCATTATCGATCGAATGTATTCACAAATTAAAAATTACTTTTTGAAAAACTAGAAATTGGAATACTCATAAATGTAACTGAAAGTGATGCATTTTGAAGCAAAGGTCAACCCTTTGCAAACATTTCGAATTTTATAAAAAAATCGAGATAATTTGATTTACCTGGGGAATTAACTTTAAAAGCAAACTATTAATTACAAAAACTGCAAAAATTACAAAAATTCATTTAGAGCTAAAAATCTAGTTCTCTTGAAACATATAAATGTATATTGTTTAACACGATTAAGTAAAATAATTGTTTTCTATTTTCAGCTCCTTCATATGAAGAGTGCATGTTTGGTGCACAGAGTATACGCGATAATAATGATTCTCAATACACAATTGGATTCCAAAATTTTACACCTTTGTATCCAGTATATAATTCAAAACAATAATATAGATTATAATATGTAACAAATAATAAGCACCAATGCTTATTATGGGCCTAAAGCCTTGGTTTTACTTAGAAAATAAAAATTATACCTCAATGCAACTTTATTCTCTCGAATAGCAAATATTTCTTATAATGAATGAATGTAATAAATTATTTAAAAAAATGTTATTTTACAAATATATGCCAACAACTATGCAATTACTTTGTCTTTTCAATTTAGAACAGAATCGATACTAGCAGAGATTGTACATGTTCAACCAGAATTCAGATTTAGATTGTTAGGATTGTGTAGGAAATTCTGCAAATAAATCAAATTTCAATTAAATCTAAATTATATGATTCTTGTATTTCTGTTTGTTTAAAACTTAGTTACTATTGTATGTATCTTAACTATAACTCTTCTTTTTATTTTGGTTGTGACAATGTCGCGTACATTTGATTTGAAAGTAAATTTAAGTACAAGTATACTTAAGGAACTTAATTAATATGGCATTTTTGCGATAAACTGATCTCTAAAATATGTTTTTGATTTATTGGAAATGAATTCATTTTTACAATATTTTGATTTATTAATATAAAGTAATTGATTAGCTAAATTATCAATAATAGTAAAAAGAAAGCAATAATCCAATCGATAAATCATTATCTTAAAAATACAGAGAAGTAGGTATACATATTTTTGCATATATTTTTTTTAATGTTTACTATTTTAAAGTAGAAGGTAAAATATGTGTAACTATAGCCATCACCTAAATCCTTACGATGGGGCTATCGGGAGATAAATATTAGTAATGTATCAATATTCGTAACAAAAGCATTTTTTTCTTTGGTAGATGATTTTTATAGTTTTGAGCTTTTATATTTATAAATATAAGAATAAACTATAGTTTATTACACCTAAATATAATTTTTTTTATTTTTTACGTTATTTAACTGTTCTACTGTAAGATGTAATATTATTTTAAATTTGATATTTGATTCTCTATCTCTATAATCTCTATAAAAGCTTACATGTGGGTGGGATAAAAAGGATCGACTAAACATTTACATTGACAAAGGTGTAAACAATATAAAATAGTAATTTAGTTTAGTTTATAATTACAAAAAATTAAATTGAACCTTTGCGCCTCGCCTTACCCTATCTCATTTTTCTATTTCTTTAATATAGTCTTTAATATATTTAGATTCAGAGTTGTCTTATATTGCGGGTAAAAATTCAATAATATTATATACTTATAAGTTGAATATATATTGAAAATAAATTGAATTTACAACTTATATATTGAAAACTATAGTTTTCAATCGGTGAAAGGACTTGTGGAAAGCTGGACAAGAACATAATTCTAACCAGTTTGAAAAGGTTGAAGTGTTGTAAGTGAAAACTAAGTTTTCTGCATAACCACCAGGATATTAAATTATTTAAACTTTGGCGTCACTTAAGCTTTTATAGTGTGTTATGTAGTGCAAGGTATAGCGCATTGAAATTATAAGATTAAACTGTAAAATTTAAATTGGAGATGTTAGAAAACGGATTAAAAAAATATTCTGATGTACTGATGTCAAGTATTATTTAGATTTTGGGGAACACTGGACCAGTTTACGACACATTAAAGATCTGAGGAAAAAAATCTATAGTAAAAAGTTATTTTTTTGTTTATTCACATAATGCCTAATATAAATTTAATAAGCTTATCTATAACGTCATAAGTGTTATCTTCGCAAAACGCGATAAACGTAGTATTTTCATGGAAATCGAATAAGAAAACACGATGATGTTCAATAAATGCAGATTTAGTATCGTGTGAGTAATTGAAGATAAAGATATCTTTACATATAAGCAGAACTCACAAAAATTTCATGATTATCATATGTAAAATTAACGTGTAATAAAGTTTCACTGTTTACATAACTGAACTATACTAATTAGAGAACATATTCATACAAAATATTTTGCACATTTCTTTTTAAAAAACACTTAGTGACTGCTAGAAATATTAATTTATAAATAGTGTAAATTTGTACAGTTTTTGCAAAGTTTAGTGTTTGGTCTGATATGAGTTTTCACGCACAAATTTTTTATGACAATAATCCGAATGGAGTTTATTATGCGAGTCAAATGTTGTCCGGAAGGGTAGAAGTTACTTTGACAAAACCAAAAAAGTTTAGATGTGAGTGAAATTAGTATAAATCTATCTAAAACTATATATATTAACAAGTTGCATGAACTTACAAAATTAATATTTGATTTATGATTTATCTGTCTAATGATTTACTAACCACATGCCTAAAAGAATACGCCTGTCTCCAAGTTGGCCACTTGTCTATTTTTGAACCTGCCTACCTGTCCACCAAGTTTACCTGTCTCCCTGTCTACATTTCACCTATCTACATGTCAACCTATCTATATGCCTATCTTCCTATTTGTCATCCTGCCTACTAGTCTATCTGTTAATTTATCAAACCACAAAATGTCTATTCTTTACTTTTTTACCTAAAATTCCAAAATCGCTGGACCTCCCTTTGCAAAAAGCTAATAAATACTGTATTTTCACAAAACAAGTAAAATATAGTATCATTCGAATTGGATTCTCGAGTCCCAAAAAAACTTCAAATTTTTGCACTTTTTGCTTTGTATCTTTGAAACTGCTGAAACTAAAAGCATGTCCCACCACCAATCGGACACTCTGTTTTTCCGAAAACTGAATTTAAATGTTTAATATTTATTGCCCCGTATTAGTACTTATTCCCAAAAATTTCACTAGTTCTTCATTTCGTTAATACTAATAAAATATTTTTGGAATCATTCAAATCGGATGCTCGTTTCTCTCAAAAATTAAATTACCATTTTTAGCACTCTTTACCCCGTATCTTCAGAGCGGCTGAACCTGCCTTTGCCAAAAACTAATCAGCACGGACAGCACGTCTCCTTATTAATAGGAATCAAATGTTTTTGAATCATTCAAATTGGTTGACCCGCGTATACATGCACCCACACACATACTTCTATTTTTTCTAAGGTATGCCAAAATATTCAGAAACCTTTGAAACCCAAAGATATATAAAAATTTCGATTTTTGCAATTACTATAACTTAATAACAGACTTATCTATAAACTATGTTGTATAATTGCAAATATTTGGTTTAAATTCTACAAATTCATAGTAACTTATTCTTTAATACTCTCCAAATAAAATTATTGAAATGTACTATTTCTCTGTATCTTCAACGTCTCTGTTTAATAATATTATTTCTATTTCGATTTCATATATAAACACTTGATATCAGGCTTATATTTGACAATAAACGGGAAAGCAGAAACATCTTGGACCGAATCAGAAACTTACAGAGATCATCATGGCAAGAACAGAACACGTACCGTTCATTACGGTGCTGAAGAAGTTTACCTTAATTCTATTACCTATCTGGTAGGATCTCAACAAGGTATATATCCAATTAACAATAGTGAAATCGTCCAAATCAAAATTTAATTAAAACTTGTGTAAATATAATAACACAAGCCCACAAAAAAAGTTGTCTGGGCTGGGTGGATGTGCGACATTTGCTTTGTAATGTATTTTTTACCGCAGAATATGAAACTAAATTCAAAATTGGGACAGCAAAAAATAGAGCAAAATGGAAAAAACGACAAAACTTTTATCCAGTAATTTTTGTTCATGATAATTAAAATTTAATTTCTATCATTTCCTGCCCTTTTTCATCTTAAATGACCTATGCAAAGGCTTTTTTCGAATGGGTTGAGTTTCTCTTTGAAGCACCCAGCAGTATTTATAAATTTATAGTTATTCCCCATTGCCCCTGGGTAATCTGCAAATATATTTGCAGTTATTTGGAGATATGTTTGGAAATTACTGTTGGATGCAACAAAAAAAGTTTGTTGAAAATATATTTTCAACACAGATGAAAAACGGTGCAGGAGTCCGTCGCACCAGTTATTTAAA